AGATTTTTTTTTTTTTTTTTTTTTGGTATGGGGGATCAAACTTGGGATGTTGTACCCACAAGGAAGGCAGTGGCACCCCAGAGATAAATCTCCAGAAGCAGATTCTTAAATGATTAAACACATACCTACCATATTACCTAGCAATTACTCTTAGGAATATATTCAAAAGAAATGAAAATGTGTTCTCACAAACGGTTGTACGTGTTTATAAGACTAGATGGAAACAACCCAAATGCTCATGAATAAATGAACAATATGTCATAAATTACTTGGCTACAAAAAGTAATGAAGTACTGAAATATGGGTAAACACTAAAGATATTAAGAAGTCAGAAACAAAAACACCATATTTCATTTTTCCTTTTCGATGAAATGTCCAGCATAAACAAATCTACAGAAAAAAGGTAACTGGCTCCCTAAACCTGGGGAAATCTAGGGAAGGAAATGTGGAGTGATTAAAAATGCCTTTTGTAGTACTGGGGAATGAACCAAGCTACATTCCCAGTCCTTTTCATTTATTTTTTTTTTTAATTTGGAGAGAGGGTTTTGTTAAATCACCAAGAATGCATTCAAATTTGTGATCCTCATGTCTCAGTCTCCTAATCTGCGGGGACTACAGGTCCACCAAGACTGGCAGGAATTTCTTTTTGAGGTGACAACAGTATTCTAAAACTGAATGGTGATGTCTGCAAAACTCTACGTACACTAAAAATCACTCATTTTACACATTGAATGGGTAAATCTTATTGTGTCTAAATTGTATTTCAATAGAAATGTTTGTAAAAAGTTACGACTCTAGGGATAGGGATTTAGCTCAGTGGTTTTGCCACCTGCCTTACAAGCACAAGGGCCAGAGTTCGATCCACAGTAACCCCCGCCCAAAAAGTTACAATTCTAAGTCTTCATACCAAATATGAAAGAGCATCAAACAAAATGAAATTAAATATATTGAGTAACATACATTATATAGATTTAATGTAATAGAAGTCTGGGGATAGTAAGAGCTCTACTCACATGCATGCATGCACTCACACATGCACACACACACTCACACACACATCAATGCTTTCAAGTCAAACTAAAATCCATTATTCACAAGTTTTTATTATTCATACTAACATGTCTCATATAAAGGAAATTAGCTAAGACATTAAAGAAATTAGCTATTAGTTCGTAAACTAAAGCCATCAAAATAACCCTCTAATCTTCTGAAAATAAAGAATAAAAGATTAAAATGGATACTTACAAACGGCATATTCAAATTATTTTCTTGCTCTGGTTTCTGAATAGTCACATCTGCACTTGAGAGCTGATGTTCAACAACAGTTATGCATCCTACATCTGCAACATTCACGGTTATTTCAAGCTGTCAAAATAAAGTTTTATTATCTCATTTCTGCAATACTAGAAACAGAAAGACAAAACATCATTTTGCACATGGAGTAAAATGAAACGTTAAATGTAAGAAATAATCCGTGCAAAATCAAAAGACTAAAATGTACTGAATTACAGTAACTTACAAAAGTAAAACATTTAACATTTCTGAGGGGTCTGTACCTAATCTAAACAGTAATCAAACTTTCTACGGTTAATCTTTGTAGGACCTGGCATTTCATTTCTTTCTCCTCACTTGGTCCTCATCTTGCCTTAATTTACTTCTTCCTTCTGTTATCATTTATGAAATGTTCCCTACAAACTAGAAGAATATGAATATAAGGATACAAAGTTAAATAAGACACTTTTGGTCCCTGGCCTCAATGAAACTATCATATAAGAGAAATACACATACTAACCAAACTATTAACTGGCATAAATGGTATAACAGAGATGAGTTGAAGTACCTAAAGAGATTTATCCCAAATGAGCATGGTGGCACATATCTGTAATCCCAGAACACTGGTAAGGCTGAGGTAGGAGGATCGCAAGTTCAAGCCAGCATGGGCAACTGAGACCGTGTCTCACAACAAAATAAAAGCAAAAACAAGAGAAAGGGATATGGCTCAGTGGGAAGGCCCCAGATTAAATAAATTCCCAGTACTGATATGTATGGGGGGAATCATCCTATCACCCACTACTGCAAGCATCCTCTCCCATACTCCCAGAGCTGACATAAATTTTTTTGTTTTGTTTTTTGAGACAGGGCCTCCCTACATAGTTCAGACTGGCCTTAAACTCACTGTGGAGCCCAGGCTGGCCTTTAACTGTCGGTATTCTCCTACCTCAGCCTCCCCAGTGCTGGGATTACAGGAGTGCTCTACCAAGCCTGGCTACGTGATTCTTGATACCCATGGAAATGGGTTCACTCACACTCTTCATTTGGCAGCCCTACAAGTCAAAGAACCCTATATTCAGGGAACCAAAAATATACTGATTGGGTCAGGGATTTAGCTCAGTGGCAGTGGTGCCTGCCTTCCAAGCACAAGGTCCTGACTTCGAACCTCAATACTGGAAAAAAAAATAGATAGATAGATTGATTTATGTTCTAGAATATATATAATGAAGTATGGTTCTTATTCCCTTACTAAGAGAAAGACGAATAAAAACGTTTGCCTGATTCAGTATAAATTGTGAGTAATAAACCAAGTCTGAAAATATATCCCAAAAAGTTAGGGATGTAGTTCACTGGCAGGGCACTTGTCTAGTATGTGCAAGGTCCTGGGTTTGATCCCTAGCACCTTTTTAAAAAACAGATCAATAGATAGTAGATAGATAGAGATGCTATTGTAGTAACACTTAAGTGTTCTGTGTTTCCTGAGATTTGAAAAATGTTTGTAAATATCCAATAGGCACACAAGGCATGGTGGCATACACCTGTAATTGCTGCACTTGGGAGGCAGGAGAATTACAAGCTCAAGCCTAGCCTGGGCAACTTAACCACTTAGAGAGACTATCTAAAATTTTAAAAGGGGGTGGGGATGTAGCTCATTGTGAATGCCCTGGGTTCAACCCCCAATACTGAGAAGAAAGGAAAAGTAGCAGATTAAGCATATTCCAGATTCAAGTGTTAGCATATTTCCATCATTATCTTTATTCTAATTCTCTTGATGAGGCTGGGCTATTACAGCTGGGTAGTCATAGGATTATTTCTGCTCATTCCTAAAGTGTGGCCCCAAACAACTTATAATTGGAAGCAATTACCAGAAAATGAACTTTTCAAATTCTAATAAATCATTAAGAGAAAAAAATGAGCCATTAAAAAAGAAAAGGATGGAAAAAACAAGTGCAATAAAGTGCCAAGAATATAGCAAAAACCAACTACCTCTTCCATCGTTTCCTCAATCTGAGCAGAAACAGGTTCGGGGGATCTGAGACCAAGAGGAACAAACACTGGTGCTTTATTTACTTCTTCTGGGGCAAGATGGCAGCTCTCTTCTTCATAGTTGGATTCAAAGTCCTGAGCATCATCATCATCATCATCTTCTTCCTGGGAGGCCCGAAGAGTCACCAGCATGGCCTTGGGAGCCCGTGGCTCCTTCCTAGAGGTCTTAGCCCGAGCTCGCTTTGTTCCCCGCCCTCTGGTGACAGTGGTTTTGATTTTCCTCTGCGTTCTCCTTTCACTGTGATCTCTTTCATTCCCAGAGGCAGAAGAGATCACTGTTCTTTCATCCGGAGCAGTTTTAGAGTAATCTGATTCTTTCAACAGTTGTGGACTACTGGATGTTTAATCAAAATAATAATATGGTCATAAATGCACCAGGATAATTTTAATGAAAATCAAACTATTACAGTAAAATCCTAGCCATTAAAATGAATACACTCTTGCCGGGCATGGTGGTGCACACCTGTAATCCCAGCACTTGGGACGCTGAGGCAGGAAGATCACTGTGATTTGGAGACCAGCCCAGGCTACATAGTGAGTTCCAGGTCAGTCTCAACTACATAGTGAGACCCTGTTTCAAAACACCAAAAAAAAAAAATTTGAATACACTCTCACCACCCAGTCTCCCAGTCTTTTAAAAAAACTTAGGCTAAGCTTTGCACAATGGCAGTATCGTAGCCAATGAGGTTTATCCGAGGCACAATTATTGCTAATTAAAAACTTTTCCCAAAAATTTAGGCTGTGAAAACAAGAAAGTAATTAAGTAGTACTTAGTTTCTCATTCAGAGTTAATTCTTAATTTTCTAAAAAGTTTGCATAGTACATTTTAAATTCTGGGCTATTTTTTCACATAATATGATAGCAAAGATGAGACAAACACAAAACTGGAAGTTATTAAAGAAAAAGGGAAAAAATAATTGAACCAGTAAGTACAGAATATGGAATAAAAAGTAATACTGATTTATCTACTGATAAACAGATTAGGTTGAAAGAAAAAAGAGAAACAAAATCAGATCAATGCTGGTAGGTTTTTGTTTTACCTATTACTTTTTTTTGTGGTAATAAGAATCAAACCCAGGGCCTCATACATGCTAGGCAAGGATTCTACCACTGAGTTATACCCACAAGCCACCATATGGTTTGTTTGTTTGTTTACTGGGGGCGGGGGGAGGGGATCTGGGATTGAGCTCTGGACCTTGTGCTTGCAAGGCAGATGGTGGAACCACTGAGCTAAATCCCCAGCCCTCCACCTTGTGTTTTAGAGCTCAGATTCCTTCCCACTTTGTTTGAAAAGTATGGAAGAAGGGCAGGTACCCTTCATTTGTGTTTGTAATACATTCAAACTAGCACTCTAATTTCTTAGGTAACACATACTACTCTTCGTCAGGCTTCTGTTCATGTCTAATAGACTCAACACCCAGGAATTTTCTACCTGGAAAAGAAAAAAATCTTACAAAGCAAACCAGAAAAAGAGTAAACTGCAGTAAATAAACACCAGAATTTTTTTTTTTTTTTTTTTTTTTTGGGTACTGAGGATCGAACTTCGTTCCTTGTGCTTGTGAGGCAGGCACCGGAACCACTGAGTTAAATCCCCAGCCCCAGAATTTTTTTTTTTTTTTGGGTACTGAGGATCGAACTTCGTTCCTTGTGCTTGTGAGGCAGGCACCGGAACCACTGAGTTAAATCCCCAGCCCCAGAATTTTTTTTTTTTTTTGGGTACTGAGGATCGAACTTCGTTCCTTGTGCTTGTGAGGCAGGCACCGGAACCACTGAGTTAAATCCCCAGCCCCAGAATTTTTTTTTTTTTTTTTTTTTTTGGGTACTGAGGATCGAACTTGGTTCCTTGTGCTTGTGAGGCAGGCACCGGAACCACTGAGTTAAATCCCCAGCCCCAGAATTTTTTTTTTTTAATGTTCAAAAAAAAAATCTCCACTATGTTCACAAACCATCTTTTAGATCCACAATATCAGTAAGTAAAAATAACACATCTATAAAGAATAACTGATTTTTATTTCCTGTGCTTGGTATTTGTTAAGTAAAATGTTACCTTCTTAGTTTACTGAAACACTGCTCTTCAACAATTGAAGATGCAGAAATATGTTGTATAGTTTCCTCTTTAACATTTTCCGATGGTCCAACTTCAGCTAATTGAGCATTTTTTTTGGCCAAAGCGGTCTCTTCAGAACCTATATAATCTTTTCTTGCTGAAACCTCTGGAGATGTCACAATTTCAGCTTCTCCCTTTAATATAAGATGAAATAGCTAATATTACCATGGAAACAATCTCTATGTTAATGTGGTTTAGCAGTGTGGTCTAACTCTCTATGCTACACACGTACACAAGTGGTAAGTTTCTCAATTCATCATGAAAACTGGGCTGGGGCTGTAGCTCAGCTTGTTCTGTATGTCTAATGTCCTGGGTTCAAACCCCAGAACCATAAAAAAGAAGGACTAAATTTTCCATGAAAACAGTTAAAATAGTCTCCTGCGTTTTAGTAAAATAAAACTTCATTTTAACAATGTTCTCGGGCCGGGGATTTAGCTCAGTGGTTCAGTGGCCTGCCTTGCAAGTGCAAGGACCCGAGTTCAATCCCCGGTACCAAAAAAATAACAATGTTCTCATTCTTCTTCATGATCCCAACAAACAGACCTAACAAAAAAAAAAATTTCTAAACTTACCTTTCGAAGGAGCTGGGAGTCAAGATTTCCTTGGTGCAGTAAATTATCTTCTTGTTTACTTGCTCCACTCTGATCTACTAGGCCTTTTTCTATAGGCACTTCCTCTACTTTCCTACTGTGTGCTCTTCCCAAATCTGGCTTAGTATTTTGGAATTTTCTTCTTATCAACTGTGCTGGAGTAGGAACACACGGCTTATTCTCAAGTCTAGAATGAAGTGCAAATTATGTTGAATAACAAATTCAGAATTCTTTGTTGATGTAACAGCTGTTAAATCAAACAGTTTAGATACAAACCAATTCTCAGTTCAAAGGACTGCATGTATAAATTGGCGATAAGGCCAAGCATGGACAATGAAACCCTACATTGCTGATATGAAAGGAAGGACATAAAAGCTTTTGTAGCCTCCACTTTCTGGATAGCCCAGGGAATAATTTTACAATTATATTTATCTTTTTTTACTCACTTTCATTCATCTATTCTGATATGTAATTTCATGCTACTTTAAGTAATTTTTATAGAAATAACGAAATGCCAGGAGCTGAAAATGGATTTCACAATGACACTTTAAATAAACACCTTTAAATAGGCTCCAGAGCACGAAGAAATATACCACTTGGTCTTTCTGCTAAACAGTGGCTTGAGGAGGAAAAGTCTATTTTACCACATGCCTGAAAGTTCACAGGAAAAGTCAGGCCCTGGGTTACAATAACAACAATAAAAAACACTTCACAGAAAAATTTATTGTACAATTAATCTGTATCTGCCAAATCAGACAAAGACAAGGTTTTAACAAGGTTGCCAGAGCAAATAGCCATCTTAAGATTTCCTGCAAATACAATATTTTAATAGCTAGCAAAGACCTGAATGAGGAAATCTAAATAATATAAAGTTGGATACTGTATTTGAGTTCTCTGAAAGAACTATATTAAAAACTAATCCTAAGAATATTTCTCAATAAAACACCTAGAAAATAAAGTAACTAGCACATTACCAAATGTACCAACTGATTAAGCTCAACTAGTAGTGATTCACCAAGGCAGTACACTGCAAGTTCCAAAACAATTATAACACTAGCAAATATATTCCCATGCAGGCTAATGTACTGGGAAAAATAAGTTATACTGAACTGATATATGAGCTGTCAAGTATGAGCCCGAAAAGATATTTAGGAATAAAACACACACTTAGGCCCATTGTGCTATTGAGGTAAAAAAGTGACGGCAAATATTGTACATAAGGTTATGCTAATTTTAAAACTAGGTTGAGATATGTCAGACACAGCAGAGCTAAAAGAATAAACTTTAAAGGCCGGGGATTTAGTTCAGTGGTGCCCCCGCCTGCTTCACAAGAGCAAGGACCCAAGTTCAATCCCCAGTAACAAAAAAAATAAATAAATAAACTTTAAGATCTAGCAAAAAGTTGGGGGGGGCAACTGACTTTCCATACAGGAAGTTTAATAGAACTCTCTGGGGTGCGGGGACCTCTCTCATTAAAAAATACAAAGGCTGGGAATATACTCAAGGGCCAGGGATTTAGCTCAGTGACACCGCACCTGCCCTTGCAAGAGCAAGGCCCAGAATTCAATCCCTGGTACCAGAAGAAAAAAAAAAAACAAAGGCTAAGCATATAACAATCTGAAACACAAAAAGCTTCCTTCAGGAAATACGGCTTAAACACTATGGGAACTTGCTACTTAAAAGTCAGAAGTGTCTCAAAGCTGCAGTTTAAAACTAAATTACAAATGAAACTTCAAGTCATTTAAATTCTCCAGGGTAACTGTAACATAGAGAAAAGACCAGACTGCCTAGAGGACCCTCTAAGGTCTCCCCTTCTCCACTCTCTTACACATTTCTACCTCTCCTCTCACTCCCACAGCCATCCTCTGCTTGGCTCCTTACATGTACTACACGCTTCCTGTGCATCAAAATGGCTCCTTTCCTTCCCTGGACGTTCCCATGACTTGTCCCTCACTTCTCTTCAGTCTTCTCTCCTGTGTGCTCCCTCCCTCTTGATCACATTATTTTTCTTTAATTTATTCCTTAAGCTTATTGTTCTTGTTTATAATGTGTTCCCCATATTCAAATATAACATGCATAATGACAGGAATTTTTGATTTTTCATTCCTATGTTACCAGGACCTAGAACAATGCTGACCACACAGGGGACACCAATGTTTGTGGAATAAATGAATGAATGTATAAGGTTCTTTACAGTAGCATTATAGAATTGCTCGATTCCATAATTTTTCAACTCTAATTTGGTCTATAAAACCAAAAGAAGATTAAATTGCACTCAGAAAATAAATCCAAAATTAGTACTTAGGAGAAGCCAGCCAAGTATGATGTCACATAACTGTAACCCCAGGTCTATGGGTAGCTGAGACAGGAGGATCATAAATTCCAGCCCAGCCTGGACAACTTAGTAACATCCTGTCTCAACATAAAATAAAAAGGGCTGGGGATGTACCTCAGTAGCATAGCACCGCTGGGTTTGACTCCCAGTATCACAAAAAGAAAAACAGAAAGTATTCTACAAAGATAATATAGTAAATTAGATGAGTCAAGAACTATATCCAGATGGCCAGGGATTCAGCTCAGTAGTTCCAAGCTTGCTTTGTAAGCTCTAGATCCTGAGTTTGATCTCTGGTACCAAAAAAAAAGGTCCAGGGATTTAGCTCTGTGGTTCCACCACCTGCCTCACAAACACAAGGACCCAACTTTGATCCCCGGTGCCAAAAAAAAAAAAAACTCGTAAAAGCCAGATGTGGTCGCACATGCCTATAATTCCAGCACTTGGGGGAGGCTAAGGCAGGTGGTTTGCCACAGATTCAAGGCCACCCTGAACTACATAGCAAGACTCTTTGTCTTAAAAAAAAAAAAATGTCCACAAAGAAAATGTATTTTTACAGAAGCCAATGCATCCTGCTTTAATATCAGTAATTAAGCAGGGCCAGGGATTTAACTCAGTGGTTTCACCGTCTGCCTTGCAAGCACAAGGGCCCGAGTTCAATCTCCAGTACCAAAAATCATAATAATAGTAGTAATAATAATAATAATGCGATTTTAAATAATAAATAAAAGCATTAATGCAAAAATTTCTACTAGCACATTGTTTAAAAGGTAGCATTCTTACCATTTGGCTTGGATGTACAGTATACAGTAAGTACTTCATAGCACATCCTATTCATAAATTTTAGTCAGTAGGTTCTACATTTCTAAAGATAGAAAGAATTTAAAGTTTACCTTTAATACCAAAAATAAGAATGCTTGACAAAATTTGAAAAAATTACAAATTAAGAGAATATTAAACTGGTCATGGTGGTGGCACACCTATGACACCAGCACTCTGAGAAGCTGAGGCAGAAGGATCGCAATTTAAAGCCCAGCCTGGGCTAATCCATAACTTAGGGAGATCTTGTTTCAAATAGGAAATTAACAAAGGGGTTGGGGATGCAGTATAGTGCTAAGGCCCAGGTTCAATTCCCAGTACCACAAAAAAAAAAAAAAAAAAAAAAAAAAAAAAAAAAGAGAGAGAGAGAGAAAGGAAAAGAGGGAAGAAAAAGAAAGGCACACAGACAGAAAAACAGAATCAGGCATGCAATTCTTACAGTAATTGGAGAGTAGATTAAAATTTAGTTCTGGCAGGTCTGGCAAGCCACACTTGTAATCCCAGCTCTGGCAAGGCTGAAGCAAAAGGACAAGTCTGAGACCAGCCTGGTCTACACAGTGAGTTCAAGGCCAGCCTGAACTACATAGCGAGACACTGTCTCAAAAAAAAAAAAAAAAACTAAAACTAACAAGTAACTAATCATTATTTTATCCTTTCATAAAATGTTAAGGATGTAAGGTTTTTATAAAATCAATTGTGCAAAAATCTATCATTATTTTTTAAACATTTCATGCTTTCCTCATTAAAAGCAAACTCACCTCTTCTTTTCATCTGACATTTTTTTTTTGTTAACATATGGGTTTTCTACAAAAACCTCATGTCTTTGATTTTCATCCATACTGCATTCTGAAACTTTGGAGGATACAACTTCAATATCAGATTCAATTTGAGAATTTGACTGAGAAGACAAAAATCACATTAGGGAGGATACAACTTCAATTTCAGATTCAATTTGAGAATTTGACTGAGAAGACAAAAATCACATTAGGGTTTTTTGTTTTTTAAAGGCAAAACATACTTCCTAAAATATTTCAATCACTAAAAGGGTATTTATATTTAGATTTTGTTTTCTAGTGCTGAAAACTGAACCTAGGGCAGGCCTTACACATGCTAGACATGTGTTCTACCACTGAGGTATATCCCCAGACCAGATAGTTTTTTTAAAATTAAGATTCAGCAGGCAGGCGGCACCTGCCTATAATCCCAGCACATGGAGGGTGAGGCAGGATGATCACTGTGAGTTCAAGGCCAGCCTGACCTATATAGTGAGTTCAAGGGCAGCCTGGAACACAGTGAAATCCTGTCTCAAAATAATAATAATAATAATAATAATAATAATAATAATAACAACAACAATAATAATAATAATAGTAAAGATTCAAACAAATGCTAAGAACAGTGGGGCAGCCTGTAATCATAGTTATTTGAGAGGCTAAGAGGATGATCAATTCAAGGTCACCCTGGATAACTTGCAAATTCTTGCTTAAAATAAAAACTTTTAAAAGCTAGAGATGCAGGGCCAGAGATTTGGCTCAGTGGTTCCACTGCCTGCCTCACCAAGCACAAAGGTCCAACAACTTCAATCTCCAGTACCAAAAAATAAAAAAATTTTAAATTTAAAAAATAAAATAAAATAAAAAGCTAGAGATGCAGCTCAGTGAGAAGACCTTAGGTTCAATCCCTATATCACCACTAAAAAATAAATAAATCAATAAACAAACAAACTCATGCTAGGGAATTTAAATCAAGTCCCTAATCCCTAGTGACTAGGATCCAAACTAGAAAATTCAAACTAGTAACTGCTTGTTCAGACAGTTGCAATGATTATCACAGTAATATGTTCATATAATGATTTAAAGGTCCCAAGAGTCATCTGTTGTAAAACCAAAAATTTTTAAAGTTTGAGCTCTATGGTAAAGAAATCATCTAGTATACACAAGGTTTGGGGTTTAATTCCCAAAATATAATTAATGAATTAACATTGGGTGTGGCGGCATACACATGTAATCTCAGCATTCAGGAGGCTGAGGAAGGATTGCTGCAGGTTCAAAAGCAATCTGGGCTACCAAACAAGTTCAAGGCCAGCCTGAAATACATAACAAAAAACAAAAAGACACTGCATTCAATCCCTTCCACCACAAAACCAAAAATGATGCAAAGGGTTTTTAGTGGTTCTCTCAGGGTGTTAAGATTTGGGTCATTTACTGTATTATTTCGTACTGATTAAATGTTTCATAATGAATAATGTCACTAGGAGAAAAAAAATCTCTTTTCGGGGCCGGGGATTTAGCTCAGCAGTTCAGTGGCCTGCCTTGCAAGAGCAAGGACCTGAGTTCAATCCCCGGTACCAAAAAAAAAAATCTCTTTTCATGTAAAAAAAAAAAAAAAAAAATCCAAGGCTCTTTTTCTTTGCATTCAAGTCCTTTTTCTTTTACCCTCTTTCTCTGTGCTCTTGCTACCATCCCCTCAAATAAATGTAGCCACTTGCTACATACTATGAGGTACAAAAAAAAATCCAGGGCTGGGATGGTAAGGCACTTAGCCAGCATGGACAAGGACTTAGTTTCAATCCCTAGCACTACAAAAAATAGTAAGTATGAAACAAAATTGGGTACACTATGTATTCCTGAGAATAAATGTTATATTACACTATTCTAAATCAAGACCAAGCCATCACTTGATATTTTACTATGAATTACAGTATACAATTTAGTTACACAATAACTCACCATTGTCACAGTTTTCTTGTTAGTTTCATCTTTTTGTAGCATTGTTCTTTCATCTTTAATCATTCCTTTGGCTTCACCTTTTTCTAGTAATTGCCTATGTCTAGCGTTTTTTACATTTGGTTTGGGCCTCTGAAGTCGGGCCCTCGTTGGTAGAACCATTTGGGTAATACTTTCTTTCATTTCTTGTTGCAAAGTATTTACCTTCTGAATCCTAGAAAAGGGGACAAGAAGAAAGACTTGACTGTAAAATGTTGAAAATTACTGCAAAAATATATAACTTGAATCTTCTCTCACTATGAAAATATTTTTTTACCATTCTAGAAAATGACTTTTTCATTATAAATTACATGAAATAAGTCATTTCACTTCTCCAAACATAGTAAACTTTTAGTAAACATATCTAGAATAGCCAAATTTATAAATAGAACAGTGGTTATGAGGAACTAGAAGAGGATAACAATAGCTAAGGTTTAGTGGGAATAGCAGTTTCAATTTGTGAAAATAAGAGTTCTGGAAAAAAAAAAAAAAAAAAAAGCAGGGCCAGGGATTTAGCTCAGCGGTTCAGTGGCCTGCCTTGCAAGCACAAGGACCCAAGTTCAATCCCTGGTACCAAAAAAAAGAAAATAAAAGAGTTCTGGAGATGGACATTGGTGATGACTATACAATATGAATATACTTAATACCACCGAGCAGTATGTGTAAAAATGGCTGAAATAATAAACTTTGTTGTATACATTTTACAAATACTTTAAAAGGGATTTATAACATGTAAATATATTAAGTGAACTGCTTTGTATAGAATTTTTTATTTTTGGTACCAGGGATCAAACCCAGGTCTATTGCGTTTACAAGGCAGGCGACGGAACCACTGAGCTAAATCCCTGGCCCTATAACATGCTTTGTTTAGAATCTTTCTTAAACAACTAATAAATAGCAGGAAGCATTAAAGTTTTGAATTCCATATGATTTTCACTTTTAGGTGGTCTGCCATATCAATGAATAAACCAAGTATTCTTTATATTCATTTTGAAATACATTAACACATTTTAATAAAAATAAATATCTAGGGCCGGGGATTTAGCTCAGTGGTTTCGCCACCTGCCTTGCAAGTGCAAGGACCTGAGTTCGATCCCTGGTACCAATAAATAAATGAATGAATGAATGAAAACAATTTGGGGGTGGGTACCAAGGATTGAACTCGGGTCCTTGTGCTTATGAGGCAGGTGGTAGAACTGCTGAGCTAAATCCCCGGCCCAAAGAATTTTTTTTTTTTTTTTTTTTTTTTTTTGGTACTGGAGATCGAACTTGGGTCCTTGTGCTTGCAAGGCAGGCAACCATACCACTGAGCTAAATCTCCGGCCCCAAAATGTCTCTTTTATTCTAGATTTAAGTAAATATCACTGTTTACCCCACGGGAACAGCTAGGTCATTTTCCTGGGTCTGCACTGACTGAGAATCCTCTGCAGGTTCACAAGCACTTGGTGCTGGGTCCTGTTCAGTTTGTATACATGATGATATCACAATCTCCTCTTTCTCAAGGCCTGATTTATCTTTTTCTCTTGATGCCACTACAGATGTCAAATCCTAGTCAGCAGAAAAAAAAAAAAAAAAAAAAAACCAAAATTTTTACCCAGGGTTGGTAAATTATAGGCAAATTAAAATTCTCATATACTATTAGAATAAATTAATATAGTCATTGTAGAAGGCAACAAACAGTAATTTATCAAAATTTTTAAATTCTAGCAATTCCAGTTCTAGAAAGTCATCTAATAAAATAAGCTGGGATATAGCTAAGTGATAGAATGCTTGCCTAAATGCACTACTAAATAAGTATCTTTAAAAAGAGCCAACTCCTCCAAAGAAAAGTTCAATGGTTTATTGTTTATACCTTGGAGATAAGACTAATCTGTGGGGAAAAAAAGACTAATCTGTAAGAGGTTAAACAACTAAACCTTAATTTCCTCAAAACACCAATTAAAAGATAAAGTTCTATGCATTGCTTCAAAACAGGTACAACATTTGGACCAGGGATGTAGCTCAGCAGTGCAGCATCTGCCTGGCAAGTGTGAGGCCCTGAGTTCAATTCCCAGTACCAAAAAAAGGTACAATATTGTGTTAAGTGGAAAAATCAAAAGCCAAAATCTGATGCCATTTTTGCAAAAACAATACAAATACCTGCACATTTTTATTATTCTATAACCAGTAATGACACAGAAAATCTTAGGTGTACATTTTCATTTGCTATGCAATTAACCCAAGCCATAAAGATGCATGAGACATTAAAGAAAAGAGCCATGAAGCTCAGTAATAGAGCACTTCCCTAGCATGTGCAAGAACCTATGTTCAACTCTCAGCAGAGAAAATGTGAGTCTTATTTTTAGTATATACATATACTTTCCCAAATTAAAATTTTATAACCAGAAAAAGTAATTAAGAGAAATAGTTTGTCATTTATAGACATGAGGTGAGGAGAAAAGGTATAAATATTAATGCATAGTAAAGAACTAAGCAATTCTAAGATGCCAAATTAAAATTCTAATTCTTCTTTTGTTGCTGTTGTTTTTCCTTGATTTGTTGAGACAGGGTCTTATTAAATTTCTCAGGCTGGCCTCTTTGTTCCTCCCATCATAGTCTCCCAAATGCTGGGAATATAGGCATGTGCCACAATTCCAGGTAAGAATTTTAATTCTAAAATGTGTATGTGTAAAACACTCAATTTATGAGTGTTAATTCATTTCAGTTTTTGATGCTATATCAAGCAATCTTAATACATTATGAGCTAAATTTAAAAGGCAAATAAAAGCTTGGTGTGGTAGTACACATCTTAATCCCAGCTCTCAAGAGGCTGAGGCAGGAGAATCACTGTGAGTTCAAGGCCAGCCTGAAATACACAGAGGCCCTGTCTCAAAACACAAAACAAAAACTAAACAAAATGCCTAATTTGACTTCTATCAACTTTTCATCTTCATAGCAAGGTAAAAGGAAGGACTGTTGTTCCCATTTGTCCTCTACAGAAACGTACTATATTATTTGGCTATGGTCACAAAGGCTGAAACTTAGCTAGAGTGTAGGCATCCTGGACACGTCCCCATGTTACACCTGCCCCTTATCAGACACTGCAGCTTCTTCCACAAACCATGTGGAACAAGGAGGCACACTAGGCATGAGAACAGTATCAAACTAATAAAAATTATGTATCAAGAAACTTGTGAAAGTTTAATAACCATGTAATCAATGCCCCTACCCTTCATCTCAATCACTCACAGGTTGCAAAGAGAGAGTATCAGCTTGTTCTCTGTCTTGCTGAATCTCAATGGTTTCCATTTGATTTGTTCCCAACTTCTTCTCAGGTACATATTTTTCTGCTTCTGTAGTCTCTTTCTTTGAAGCTGCTCTTGCTAAGTTTGGTTTTGGCCTTTTGAATCGACTTCTCACAAAAGGTGCTGGTTTCACTTCAAGTGGCTTCTGTTCTTGAGGAAGAGATTTGCTTTTGGAACAAGGATTATCAAACTTTTAGAATGAACTGAAGGGGCAATAGGAGTAGAGTCTTAGGACAACCTTAGAGACTAACAGTAAATATTTAATCCTAATTTTTTTCTTTTTCATTTTTTTAGACAGGGACTCACTATATAGTCCATGCTGGCCTTGAATTCACTATGTAACCCAGACTGGCCTCAAACACGAAGATCCTCCTGCCTCAGCCTCCCAAGTGCTGGATCATAGGCATGTGCCATTATACCCAGCGATCCTAATTCTTCACAGGAAAAGAAATGGAACTATCTGATAGACCCTGAAACATGAGGGTACAGCTGAGGTATGTGCCTCAGGAATCACATTAACTCTCACAGAGCAAACACTGGTTGTCAAGCCCATGTTGACTCAAGAGTATGTATTACACACAGGTTTATATGTGTGTCATTTGGAACAGTCCCAATCCTCTACTATCTGAAAGTGTCAAACACTCTTGTATATCTTATGCCTTGAAATCTCACTTAGTATAACAAGACATCAAATACAAATTCTTTTTTTTTTTCCTTAATGGTGGCAATGATTCACACTTATTAAAGGTAGAAAAAAAAAACAGAAGGGTAGGGGAAAAAAGGGCTCTGTAGAGACAGTTTGGGCCAAGAAAAAAATAATACACCTTACAGTGTAGGGTAGGCTACTGTGAACAGGTATATCAGCAAAAATAACTTCCTGTGGTCTTTCTTTAAAAGCACAGAACCTCCAGGCACAGTGGTACACACCAGCAATCCTAGCACTCTGGGAGGTTGAGGCAAGAGCCTGAGCAACTTAGTGACATAGTGAGACCCTGTCTCAAAATGAAAAATAGAAAGGGATGTAGGTGTAGTTTAACATGAAGGCCCTGCGTTCAATCCCCAGTACCTCAGAGAAGAAAAAAAAAAAAAGCACACAGACCTATATACTTATACCTTAAATTAGTATCTGAAAAGTGCTCTGAAACATCTGGAGGTTGTATCCCCTGGTCTTCTGTTTTACAAAGTTCAGATATCTGTGAAGCAGGCTTCGAACAACTTAAGTGATCTGACAGTTCCTTTTCAGAATTACTTTCTTCTATAGATGTATGCACCACTGGCTGTACTTCACTGCCAATATTCTGGAGAAATAGTGACAGTAAACCAGCATATACAGAAGATTCCATCAGCATTTCACACATTTCAAACAGAAGCTTACTGTTCTATACACTTTCCTCTAAACATTTAGAAGTTTGTTTCTTAATTTTTAAATAAAATCTGGGCCAGGTGTGACAGTACATGCCTGGAATCCTTGCCCTCAGGACTCTGAGGTGGGATGATAATGAGTTCAAGACCAGCCGTGGCTAGAGATTATTTTTAAGCCCAGCCTGGATATATACCAATACCCTGTCTCCAAAAACAAAATAAACAAACCAATAAAATTCAATTTAACACACAAGTGTTAAGACCCAGAATTCACAAATCTTCCTTTTATATTGTAGATTATGATTTTTCCAAACCATAAATGCCATTGCTTACCAAAAAAAAGTCAGAAAAATACTCCATGAAAATGTTACAAGAGAAGAAACTTTAAAAGAGGCAACTTTTAAGCACAGGATTTTTTGTTTTAGTTTTTGCTTGGCTGGGCCTTGAATGTGATACACGGTCCAGGCTCGGCATGGATTTCTGATTCTTCTGTCTCAGCCTCTGAGTGTTGAGATTACACTAGGGAACCACCATGCTTGGTACAAGAACTTTTTTTTTTTTTTTTTTTTTTTGCTGCAAGACACAGTCTTGCTATATAATCCAGGCTGGCCTTGAACTCACTATGTAGCCCAGGATAGCCTCGTAGCTACCCTCCTGCCTCAGCCTCTCAAGTGCTGGGATTACATGTGTGTACCACCATGCTCAGCACAAAAGCAATTTTAAAAAGTGAAGAAAGTGTGGCACAGCAGGAATAAAGGGAAAAGCAGACATAGCCAAAAGACCTGATTCCAGTATTATGTTCATACTATGGTCAGTACAATTTCCTATGCTCCTTTTATCTAAAAGAGTAACTTCAAACTCCTATTAAAAATAGTAGCTTTTTAGCCAGGAATGATGGCACACACCTATAATCCTAGCACTCTAGATGACTGAGGCAGGAGGATTGCAAGTTTAAGCCCAGTCTGGGCAATTTTTTGACTTGGCAAAACCCAACTCAAAATAAAAAAATTTTTTAAAGGCTGGGGATATAGCTCAATGGGAAGACACCAGTACTAGAGAAGAAAAAAAAACATAACAAAATGGACACATATTGAGGATATACTCTTAAGTGAAATAAATAAGTCACACATGTGTAAATACCGAATAGTTTCTCTGGTGTGAAAAATTATAATAGTGCACAAGATCCTAATGGGATGGGTAAGAGTGTAAAGTGGAAAGAAAAGGGGTAAAGGTGTAGGGAAAGGGGAAAGGGTAGGGGCAAGGAAATAAGGGAAAAGAAAAATATGAGAAAATGAAAAAATGGAAATAAAGAGTTTGTTAATGGGGAGGGGAGGAGGGGGTGAAGGGAGGGCAGGGAGGGCAGGGACAAGGGGAAAAAATGAGAAGCAAGACCTGTCATGTGAAGGTACAGGATTCCAGTAATGAATGTAACTGTATTATAGACCTAGATTGCACCAATAAACTCAATAAAAAAGAAAAAAAAAAACATAATGTTTCCACAATTAGAAAAAGTTTAAAGTTACTTTTTAAAAAACAACATACAGTTTCTTCAAATTCCTAAAACATAAAAATTTAGGGATGGAAAGACTTCAAGATATTTTAAGTACTGGGCGTGGTGGCGCACCCCTGTAATCCTAGCACTCTGGGAGGCTGAGGCAGGAGGATCACTGTGAGTTTGAGACCAGCCTGGGCTACATAATGAGTTCCAGGCCAGTCTCAACTACATAGTGAGACCTTGTCTCAAAAAAAACAAAACAAAAGATATTTTAAGCATTTTTTTAATTTAAGGACAATAATTATTGATTTTTTTTTTTTTTTTTTTTTGGTACCGGGGATTGAACTTGGGTCCTTGCACTTGCAGGGCAGCCACCGAACTGTTGAGCTAAATTCCTGGCCCAATTATGGAATTATTGAAGAGACAACAAATAAATATATTTTTAAAATGCTCAATGTCACTGATCATTCAATAAACACAAATTAAAATAACACTGAGATTTCATCTCACTCCAAAAAGAATGGCTGTCATCAAGAAATCAATAACAAATGCTGGCATGGAAATGGAGACTTTAGCTCAGTGGCACCATGCCTGCCTCACAAGTGCAAGGTCCTGAGTTTGATCCCCGGTACCAAAAAAATGCTGCAGAGACTGTGGGAAAAAAGAAATCCTTCTCCCTTTCTGGCAAAGTGTAAACTGATACAACTATGGAAAATCACTACTGCGATTTCTCAAAAACTAAAACTAGAGTTTCCATTTGACCCAGCTGGTCCCTTTCTAGGTGTCTTCCCAAAAAGAGTTAAAAGTATCATGTCACAGTAATATATGCACACCCATGTTTATAGCAGCACAATTTAAAATAGCTAAATTTTGGAAACAGTCCATCAACAGAAGACTGGATAAAAAGATGTGATTTTTAATATACAGTGAAGTACTATTCTGCCATAAAGAAGGAAAACGAGTCATTTGTAGGAAAATGGATGCACCTCAGGATCATAATCTTAAGAGAAATAAATCAGACACCCAAATATCACAACGTTTTTCTAGTGTGAAAAACCCAAAGGGTAAATGAGGAGCATAATATTGTCCAAATAGGAAGGGAAACAAAGGAGAGGGGAAAGGGCAGTGAAGGAAGGGAAATAGAAACAAAAAAATAGAAAGAAAGATAGCCAGGGATTTAGCTCAGTGGTGCCACCACCTGCCTTGCAAGTGTAAGGTCCTGAGTTTGATCCCCAGTACCAAAGAAAGGAGGAAAAAATGGAAACAAAGCTTTTGTAAATGGGGACAAGAAGGGTTGAAAGAAGGGGAGGGGAATGGGGAAAAAAAGAATTAAGACACATGTACAAGTATAAATTCCCTATGATTAATCAATGTATGACAAATATGTACTAATAAAATATAAAGACTAAAAAAAAGAAAAAAAATTACAGATTTGGTAACTTTTCTCTGAGAAAGTTTTCAGTTTCTTAAAGGATAGAAAAATACATACTTTCACATCCAGAGAAGGCACAGTGCTGCAGTCAGTGCCACTCTTCTGTATAACATCTGTCCCAGTTTGTCTAGAGGTAGCAGGTTCCTCCAGGTTTCTTTCTTTTGGAGAAATGTCTATGTTTCTAGTTTTTTCCAAATCTGCCACCATTTCCCCAATAATACCAATATCCTCGGCACCTCTCTCCCTCAAAGAAATTTGATTTTCAGTTTCTTTCAAATCTGCCTCTGTTTCTTCAGTGACTGTCATCTTTCTTAATATTGTCTCCATCAGAGAAATGTCTCCTTTTCCAGTTTCTTTCAAGTCAATCTCCCTTTCCCCTAGAATACTAACCGCCACTAGTACCTTCTCTCTTTGGGAAATTTCTTCGATGTCTTTCAAATCTGTTTCCATTTCACTTATAGTTTTGACCTCTTCTGGGACTTTTCCTGGAACAGGTGTATCTTTGCTTTCAGATTCCTCCAAATCTGTCTCTCTTTCCTTAGTGGCATCAACCATCTCTGGCATCCTCTCTCCTGTGGGGCTCTCTCCTGTTTCTGTTTCACCTATAGACTTGACCTCCTCTGGGTCATTTTCCTGTGGGAATATTTCTCTTCTGCTTTCCTCCAAATTTGTCTCTATTTCCCCACTGGCATCAATCAATTCTAGTGTCTTCTCCCTAGGGAGACTCTCTGTCACAGTTGCTTTCAATCCTATCTCCATTGCATCAGTGACATTAGTCATCTCCGGTATGCTCTCACTGAGAGAGGCAGAGGTGTCTCTTCCAGTTTCTCTAAAATCTGACTTCATTTGCTTAGAAGTAGCAGTGGTCACCACTGGTACCTTCTCCCCTGGTGAGGCATCTGGTCTTACGAGTTCTCTCAAAGCTGCTGTCACTTCCCCAGAGACAGGACTTTCCTCTGGTATCTCTTCTTTTGATGCAATCTCTTTTCTTTCAATTCCTCTCACTATATTTGGCTTTGGTTTCTGAAATTGAGTTCTTAGAACTGGGACTTGTTTGAGTATATTTGCTTGATTATCCTCTTGAATACTATTAAAAATAAAAGAAGACAAGTTATAAATCAAACTGTCAGTTACAAAGATAGTGACTCTGAGAAATCACTATGAAAACACCAGCTTTAAAATTAAGGAGCTGAGAGTGTAGTTCAGTGGTAGCACATATGTTTACAGGGGCCTGGGTTCAATCCCCAGAAGGAAGGAACATCAGAGTAGGGGGAAGAGCAGAAGGAGAAAAAGGAGGAAAAGAAGAAAGATAGAACAAAAACCAGGTTGGGTGGGCACATCTGTAATCCCAATTACTCAGGAGGCTAAGAAAACAGGAAGATCTCAAGTTTGAGAACAGGCTAGGCACATTAGAGACCCTGTCTCAAAATAAAATAAGCTGGGTGTGGTGGCACATGTTGTAGTCCAGGCACTGGGAAGGCTGAGGAAGGACTGCTGCAAGTTAAGGCCAACCTGGGCTATATATCGAGTCAGCCTGTACTACATAGCAAGATCCTGTCTCAAAAAAACAAAAATAAAATAAAATGGGTAAAATTTCAGCTCAATGGTAGACTTCTTGCCTACCAAGCACAAAGCTTTGGGTTCAATCTCTGGTACCAAAAAAAAAAAAAAAAAAAGGAAGCCCAGGAATCTCTGCATAAAATTTAAAATGGGGGGGGCATCTTTTATAATTACAGTAATACTGTAAAGTAATTAAATATATTTATGTGTAGATATATCTATTAATGGGTCAATTAACATAGCCGCTAATAGCCCTGACTATTTCCACTGTCATCCACAGCACCCTATGCAAACAATGGCGGGAAGGGAATCTCCTGTATGCTCACTAGTACTAGATCAAAGTGTGTCTATCGATTCTACTTCTTTGCTCCTACTCTTTACCCAGACATACACTTTGCTGTGCCATAACAGACTTGGCATTTCACACAGCCAGATGGAGGCATGATCTGAAAAACAGTCATGACTCAGAACTACACTGGCACATTTTTTAGGGTTTTTGTTTTTTTTTTTCCTTTGAGACAGGATCTTACTATGTAGTCCAGAATGGCCTTGAACTTACTGGGCAGCCCAAGGTGGACTCACAGTGCTGATCCTCCGGCCTTAGGTCCACACTTAAAAAGCAGTTTATAGAGATTTTTT